CTCTGAAGAGACCGAGCCAGGTCATGCCCAGAGTGGTCCCTACCTGCCTGCTGGTCGTGGTTGGAAGGAACTGAAGTGGCTGGAACACCACAGCCCCTTTTGTAGCCTCACCATCAGAACATATGGGAATGCTAAGGGGAGGTGTTGGAGGGGGCATGAGTGCTACAAGAGACTCTGCTAGACAGAGTTCCACCGTCTAAGCTGCACCACAGTGTCAGAGTATCCCAGGAATGGGAATAGGCAGAGGACACTCAAAGAACAGAAAATTGTTCCCTACAATATGTTTTTAAATGATTTTTAAGTGCAATATGTGTTCATGCTATAGAGTCAAATGATGCATCTTACATTGCAAAAATAAACCGCACAGCAGCAAGTCTCAGAACCTGGGTCCACTGACTCAGGCTCATGGGACATGGGCGACAGGGCTAAAAACAGCGGTTTTGGCAGAGGCAACACGTAAAGGGGCACGCAGGGTCATGTGCCCCCCTTTCTCCCCCCTCCCGATTTCTGTCAGGATTTATATTTTTATTTCTTTTTTTGTGGGGAGTGGGTTCAAAATACTGCCAGAACCTTTACATTGTGCCTCCCCCCTCCCTGACTATCAACATGTCACCTCTGAGTGTTGGTATTCCCACTCGAGGTGGAGCCCAGGCTATGAAACCTGGCAAGGGGGATGGGTCTCAGAGCCTGTCGTCCAGCCCAAATGGGAACATCTACACTTCTATTTTTAGCTCTGTAGCATGAGCAGGGCCGAGGGGGAGGAAGACGGTATAAATTACCGGGGCCCAGCGGTCCGGAAGGGGGCCCAGGGCCCGGCTTCCCCCCCCTCTCGTCGGCCCTGTTTAGCCAGTCCGCCCTTGCTGGGGGGCCCGAAAAAAAATTTTCACCAGGGCCCGAACCTGCTCTCGGCGGCCCTGAGCATGAGCCCCACAAGCCCAGGTCAATTGACCTGGACTCTGAGACTGGCTGCCGGGGGGAGGGAGCGGGGAGGGGCTGCACCCAAGATTGCTAAATAGTTTTTGTTTTCTTGTAACTTTCTAAAAGTTATCACACCTTTTTTGGCTGAAGCTTTCCATATTTTGTCTCTGCTCCAAAATAGATTATTGTGCACTCATTGTCATCCAGCGTTGGGTTGAGTGAACCCTTTTCCCCATGGAAAAAATAATTCTAACTACATTTTTTTTCAGCCAGGCTACAGGCAAGACTGAAACTTGTCAGAGACATAGCCCTCAGTGGGGATCATGTGCTTTTTTTAGCTTGGAAATAAAAAAAGGGTTTTGATTTAACAAAGTAGTGAGCGTACAAAAATGATCTACTGAACAAATTCAGCAGACAATTGTGTTAAGTTGTAAGGTGAGCCACTTAAGAGGGATGCACTATGTGTGAATGCACAAACTTGGGAATTGCACGCTGCCTGATTGTGTCTTCTGAATATAATACTTCTAATCTCCTGGTCAGCTTTCCACTCCCCGTTTTCTTCCCTAAAGTTTTGATTATGAATGTGTGATCACATGTCATTCAAATATGCCAGGCTCTCAAGTTTTGCATTGGGACCTCCAAAGTCCAAGAGTTCTAAAGTCTGTGATCAGAGAGCTGGTCCTCAAAACTGCTCCATGCCTCCCCCGTTTGGATTGTGAGATTCTCAGGCACTTCCCTTTCTGGGTATTGAGACCAATCTCTGTCCCACTTGTCCTTATGGGAAGCATTTCCCAAGTCTCTTCCCAGATGACTTCATGCCTCACCTGTTCCTATAGTAAGTGCACACTCCTTGAAGTACACATATATTAATGCTGAAGTTAAAGAAATTCACACTTCAGAGAGGCATCAATACAATACTTATGAGACACCTGGAGGAAATGCACATTTGTGCAATTTAATTCAGGGTTTTCTTTCTGCCAAAACTTTATTTTAAAAACAATCCAAACTAGGAAATTAAGTGAAACAACTATGTTAACACAATATTAAACTCACACACATTTAAAAATGAGTATGTGTGTGTCTGTGTGTATATATATATATATATAACCATATACACACATTCAAATACTTATAATATATATACTTTGACACACAACATTTTTGTTTATATCAATACCAAATGTGTGCAGACTACAATGTAGACAAATAGAGTACAATATTTAATTTGAACTAGACAAATCTGGCTATCGCTGCGAATAAGCATTTCAGACCAGTAGACATCTGTGTAGTCTGAAAGCAACTGAAACTTATTTATTTATTGTACAGCTGGCTACAACTGAAATTCTCTCAGTGAAGTTTTGGCCGAGAACAGTCTCAGAGCCAATTTTTAATAAAAACACTGGGTTTGCAATATTTATATGGTACCTCTCCCAAGCTCAGTTATAATTAGGATTCAGTTTAATAATAGTATGTTTTAAGACTATATCTTGGAATGCCTCCATATTAACCATACTCGGGTAGTTAGAACTTTTGGCCAATTTAAACATATTTGGCCATTAGCACCATCACAGGACTAATTTCCATAATGATGAATACAAGATTATATTCTCAAAAAAAAAATTTTTTTTTAAGTTTCCCTACCTCTAGGTAGGTTTCTAGATTTAGGACAATTTATCCCTGATTTTCTTTTGTTTCTGTTTTTTTTTCCAAGAGAAATATCCTGAAGAAATTGAAGTACTCTATAATTCAGTCTTTTCCCCACCCACCCAGTAACCTGCCTCAGCTAGCCCAGTTGCTAGAAGGAACATATAGTGAGTTAATTGCCTGATGGTAGAGCGATATAATCTTTACTTAATCTATTTAGTGTTTAGAACTGTAAACTTTAGGGATATCTCAGTTAATTGAGCACTAATATATTATAGCTCTTGTGCTAGAATTTGACACAATGCAGTAATTGAACTCTCACTGGAGACTTAAGAAAGCCTTTGAAAGTGTCAGAGAATTGCCAACTGAAGCTTCTTAAAGGGTAGTTAGCATCTGCAATAACCAAAGTATTACAACCACACCTCAACTATTTGAGATTTTTAATTTGTAAAATCCCTGCAGCAACGGTACCACTAAATATATTTTTCATTGTGCTGTAGAAAGGATTTGTACCTCCTTTCCTAGGTTTTTTTTTTTCAAAAAACACTGCAAAAATTAATAAATAGCATTAGCTCCCCTTCAGAATTGTTTATGAAAAATTATGTTCAGACTCTATAGCCAGTATTTTAAAAAAGAGCCTAACATTTTTCATCTGCAAATATTTCTAAAAGAAGTTACCAGAGATGCAGCTGTCACAAAGATTGTGATGAATTCTTTTAAACTACTGTCATTCTACCTAATACCTAAAGTTAGGCTCCTAAAGCTATGGCTTATTTGTCAAAAGTGCTGAGCACTCAGCAGTATCCACTGAGGTCAGTTCTATGCCCCTGGGGCGTTCTCCTTGGTTCCTGTGAAGGGGGAATCCTTAGAAGGCCAGTTAAGCTGCAGGTGTAACAGTGCTCACAATCTGCCCTCCTACCCCAACTTCAGTAGATCTTAGTAAGGACTGTAGAATTAGGCTCCGTTATGCAATTGTAACAGGGGGTGAAGAAAGCTCAGGCAATATTCTGTATAACTGTACACTCCCATTCTTCCTGCTTACCTGAAACATAGGCCAAAGTTGTGTCTTTTGGGGACTTTTCAGAAAGCATTACACAGAGTTAAATCCCAGGGCTATTGTATGTAAAACCTTCATAAACAGATGTTAACAATTCCCAGTCAATTTCAAAGACAGAGCAAAATACATTTTCTTAGTAAAAAAAACATTTAACGCACACAAAACACATTGTATGAAATATTGTAATAGTATTTGGAATACTATGAATAACCTTTAAACACAAGCTATTAGACAGTAAATCTACAGCTGTTCCTTATATAGACTTTCCACCCTTCAGTTTCTGTTACTCACATTCCAGTATAAGGCTTCAGCATAAAATTTTCTATGCTTTAGCGCACACATCATAACACATTCCCCTCTGATCTTCTTTCAGAGATGACTTCTCAGTATTTATAGTGTGCCCATAGAGTGTGTGTCATTTGGACCCATCAGAGCTTGAGAAATGGCAGCATCTCAGCCCTTTCACTTCAGAACCCTGTCAGAAAACAAGCCGTGGGGGGGGGGGGCTCCACAGCTTGCAGCATCCCAGCCCTTGGCTTAATAGCTGACTGGTTTTCTCAGTTGGTAGTGAAACGGAAGTCTATATAGCCTGTCTCCAAAGTGCTATAGGGATTGCGAACAGCCCCCACAACAAACACAATTCTTGGTCCTGCATTGATCTGAGTCCATGGGGCTGTTTCTAAATATTCTATTTATAATATTCTGCACCCCCTCCCACACACATACACACAGTTTTGCTCTTTGGTTGGCTCAACTCTCAGAGGATAACAAAGAAATGAACTCTCAAGATGAGTTGCCCACAATGAAAACTTCCTATATAGCCTCAGAATAGCTACGAGGCATGTCTGGTAACTTCTACACCCTGTTCTGGAAGTTTTGGGGTCTTTTCTAACTGAGTGACCCTGCCCTGCTCTGTGCTTATGTTCAAAGTCACAGAGTATCCCACTAAGATCCAAGTCCCCTACCCACGGCTTCTCTTCCCCTCCCCGGGAGAAACAAAGTCTAATGCTGCGGTACAAAGCGTATAGGTTACATAATGACAGTCTGCTCTCAAGAAGAGGAAAGGGCTTTTACTTTTTTACTTTTAAAGTAATATTTAGATTTTTTTCATGGGTGTGTCTCTTTTGAGCTTTATATAACTTCAGGCATTGCTTGGTTTTAATTATAAAAAGTTCATACTTTGACAGCAGACTAGAACTGCTCATCTTCACAACAGCTCTCAAAACCAAGTCCCAAATTGTGAATGAAGCAGCCTTTACTTTGAAGAGTAAAACAGGGGAGCAGTGGGGAAGAGGACAGAATACAAACCCAAAGAGAAAAACATTAAGAATATTTATGAATGTGTACATTATAATGACTGATCATATCTTTTCAGGTAAAGTATCAAGAAAATATGGTTCATCTGGGTGAACATAAATGGACGCATGTGTTCCCTTTTCTGGCGGTAGGTATTTAATTGCCTAAGGTATAACCAACTTGCAAAGATAGCTGTCATTAGTGTGTGTGTGTGGCGGGGAGAGGTGGGTTTGTTTGTTTGTTTTTAACTTTAGTAAATTAACATAGCACTTCTACAAACAACTGAAATGACAGGTTCCTGTCTCAATTTAGCAGCCCATTCCTGTTCAGCAAAGCATAAAGCATGTGTTTAACTTTAGTCCCATTGACTTCAACAGGACCTAAGCATGTGCTTAAATGCTTCACTGAATTGGGGCCTCAGTGCTTACATACTAGTAAACTGAATCAACCCTGCAGTTTTAGGGCGCCACTCATTTTGCTGGAATGTGTGTTTTAAAACACCCATAATTCATTCTATCTTCACTTCCAGGCAGTAGCATTAAGAATGTTTTGCACTAAAAATCAATCCATCAGCCTTCCAAACCCTAGCTGTTGGGCAAGGATAACATGTTAGTAATAGGAAAACTGGTTGATTAAATTAAATATTTTAAATGTTTAACCTTTCGTGACAGGTGTCACTGGTGTACTCTGCTAATGCTGAATATTCTAACTGCGGTGAAAATGAATACTATAACCAGACCACTGGAATGTGCCATGATTGTCCCCAGTGCAAGCCAGGAGAAGAGCCTTATATGGTAAATTCAGAGTCTCAATCTTATTGTGAAATGCCACACCCGAGGCTGAAATAGGAAAAAATGGCCTACAAAAATTAAATATATTGTTCACAATGGATTGTTTTTACATTGGGTATAAGTTATGAAAATGCAGTTTAGTGTCTCTGTGCACTGCTAAACAGAAGTGGTTATGGATCTCAGATATCTACTACGGATTGTACCAAATGTATGATGCTCAGCACACTGCAATGCCCCTTGAAATCCTTGGATAAAAGATGCTGTACAAGTGCAAAGGATTCTTGGTTCTTTAAAAAGTATTATTCATTTTTTAAAGATAGACATGATTTCTAACATGATTTTATTATATTTGTATTGTAGAGAGAAAGGAAAGAAACTGAGACCCAATCCAGGAAGCATTTGAGCACCTGCTTAACTTTAAGCCTGTATGACTACTCATGTGCTTAAATGCTTTGCTGGATTGAGGTCTTACTCTTTTATGCTTCTGTAAACCACAGCCCACAAATAATTTCTTAAAAGTAATACTTTAAAACAGTTCTTATGTAAAAAAATTATACACACACACAATTTTGCCAGTAGTGTCATCTTGGTTCTCATATTTCAGCTAATCAGCAATTTAAAAACCTGACATTAACATTGGAGATTTTGTGTGATGAATAGCGTGGAGTGCTTGCTGACCCCACACACAGAGAATTTAATTTTGCTTTCCTGCTACAATACTTTGGCATTAAAGAAACTTGGAAGCCTCTGCAACATTTAAATTACAGTTCCCAAATAGCCATTTAATTTATAGCAGATAATTTGCATATTAAAAAAATAAATTACTGAAAACCTTTTTAATAGGCTAAACTTCCAATTGTAAGTTTTGCACAGTTGCTAATCCTGAATAAATATGTTTATAATAACCAGTTGGTTTTAGTTCAGAACACCAGTGATGTTTTATTTAATCTAAACTGAATGCTCATCTGGGAAATCAGAGTTAGGGGGTTACTGAGTATCATGCAAACATTGCCATAAGAGAAGCACTCGGAGCCTCTTCCCTCCCCACCAATTAAGAGATCTCTGATATTCCTGCTGGAACGATAATGCTTCACCCACTTTTTTCTGCTTTAATCCCTAATCTTCAATGTCCTAACTCAGGGGTAGTCAATTGTTTTTGGCAAGGTCCAAATTTCTTGATCAAGGTATAGTAGAGATCTAGTCTCCAGATAAAATAATAAACAAAACCCAATAATAATAAGTAAATAAAAAGATTTTGGGGTCCATTCAAAAGTGTTTGAGGGTCCGGATTTTGTCCCCAGTCTGCCTATTGACTACCCCTGCCCTAATGTATAGTCACCATTGTGACGGGTTGGATCACAGAAACCCCCTTGGGAGCTGCCACCCGAT